AGGGAGGGAGGGAGGGAGGGAGGGACAGCAGACCCGTTGGCAGCGATCCCCAGCTCTCCTGAGGCCCTGAAGGGGCACTGCCGCCGTCCTCCCCTTCCCTCTGGGGAGCGCTGGAGGAAAGCCAGGCTGGCAGCTGGGGAAAGGCGGTCTCCCTACCAGTGAGATGAGGTTGGTGAGGGTCAGCTTCACGGAGACCTGCAGCACTTCGCCCACCCTGCGCACTGGCCACGTGGACTTGTTGTAGTTGGCGAAAAGGCGGTTGAAGAGCTGGAGCTCTTTGTTGCCCTCCGGAGACCCTGGGGGAGGGATGGGGGGCAGGATTAGGCCCCGGGGAGCAGCTCCCCCAAACAGCCAAGCCTTTGTTGCTCCATTCCCTACCAAGGGCTGCCCCGCAGAGAAGAAGCCCCATCCAGAGGCTTCCGCCCAGGCTGCTGACGGCCTTCATGGCGACCCTGCAGGGACTGGCTTTGCGGAGGGGAGAGTTATTTTGAGTTGCTCCCGGCTGCAGTGGGAGGGGGCGCCGGATATCCTCCCCCCCCAAGCATCTGAGACATGTGCTTCCCAAGCTCGCGTGCACCTGTTGGCACATGCTTGGCATGCCTGTCAGAGCAGCTAGGGGACGGGGTAGATGCTCCACTCTCCGCATGCTGCCTGACTGGCCTCGAATAACTTGCGGGTTTGCTGCTGAGAGCTGCCCCCTCCACGACGGGACTCCCTGCCGCCCCCTGCCCCCGCAGCCAGGGCTCCCTGGCCCAGGACAGCCTGGGGAGGCAGCAGCTGGCCAGGAGCTGCCCTCAGGCGGGCTGGCCACAGACCCGCAGGAGAGGGCGGCCTGTGAGCCCCCGGCCCCTCCCCCCCGAGAACTGGCCAAGGGTGGGCTCAAGGCCACCGGGAGCCTGAAACGGCGTGAAGCTGAAAGCAAAGTGAGGGCCCACCTCTCAGGAAAGATCGGACATCAGCCCCTCTAGTCCAATCTGCACCGAGCGCCAGGTCAGTGGCACTGACCGAGGACTAGAGACATGGAGCCATAAGCTCCCCCTCCCCGCCCCCCCAGCAACTCATCTCCAACATCCAGAGACATCCGTCAGGCTGGGGGGCCCTGCGACCCGTCAGAAGCTCTGCCACCCCAATGATCCATCCCTTCTAGCAACTGGGGGGTTGGGGGGGTGGCCGGTAGGAGCAAGCAATGCTGTCTCGCTGCAGGCAGGCTGTGTTTGCAAGAGATCCTGATCCTGGCCATGTGTGTTCACACGCTGCATGCCACATCGCAGTCCAAGGGGCGGGATTCGGGGGATGGTGGAGCCCCAAGCAGCAGCGGCTTGGTCCTGGGACCTGGTTACGCACATGGATGAAGCCAGCCCCGTCCGGGGGCTTCCTAATGACACCAGGACCCCAAGGCCTGATGCAGGGAGAGATCCCTTCTCAATGGACCGACGGAAATCATCTGCCTTTTGCTGGGAACTCCGAATCCCGGAAGGTCTGCACCTCTGCTTGGGGGTTCTCCTTCTGGGCTGCACTTATTTCAAGGGAACCCCCCCAGGCCCAGAGTGTCCCCCAAGGCAGCCCTTTGAATCTCCACCACCTGCTTGTGGGCCCAGGAGCCTGGCTCTGGTGGCAGCAGGGTGGGGGTGGGAGGGGGATCAAGGAAGGGCTGGAAAACTGGCCAGGCTCTTCCTCCCAGGGCTCCATCTGGGCAGACAGATAAAGCCCCGTCTCCCCCCCACCCCCACCCCCGGTAGCAGCTGGCCTTTATCTGGCTTCTACGGGAGGACAAGACCTCACATCCACACCACCGCTGTGGCTAGGAGAGGAGGACCACCGACCTGCTGCTAGAGGGCCAAGGGTCCCAGCTCCTGTGACCACGTAAGGCCTCCCCTGGCTCTGGGTCTCTACCGGCCAGGCTGCCACCCTCAGGCGTTCGGCCCTCTTTGAAAGCCCCTTAAACCCAGAGGACTGTCCCCAAAGGACCCTGAAACGGGAGGAGGCTCAGCTGCAGCCAGCTCAACTGCGACCTGGGCCTGGAGCGCCAGCAAGCGTGCAACTCAGGAGCATCGCAGCAAGGTAGGATTCTGCGTGAAGGAGCATGGCAAGGGGGAGAATGCCTGCCCTGTGAGGCAGGCTTCTCTCTGGGCTGAAGTAGAAAAGCGGCAGGCAGCAGTGTTGGTTCAGGGAGGCAAAAATAAGCCATTGGACCCAGAAAAAAGACTGAGTTCCTCAGACCAGATGCCAAGCAAGCCAGGAAGCTTTGGGGCTTGGTGGGACTGAACTGAGGCAACTCAATTTGGCAACTTTGTACAACTGCAGATCCTCTTCCTCTCCCCGTGGTGACCTTGAATCTGAGCTCAAAGCCTCTTCTCTTCTCAGAGCTTCACGGCGCCAGCGGGGGACTCACGCGGGTCTTCTTGTCCCTCCCTTGACTGGGATCGCCCTGGCTCTCCGTGGAGAAACCAGGAGCCCAGAGAGCTCCGGCTGCTCTGGCTTAAGACCCTGGGAGGCTCCCGGGGGGCCTGCAGCTTCCCAGGCATTTTGCCAGCTCTACCTGGGCAGAGGTAGAGGGCACCTTTGGCAGCTCACCTTCCACTCCGGTCTTTAAGTGGCGGCTGAGCCAAGCCCGAGAGGCTTCTGGAATGGCAGTGGCTTAAGATGAGCGCAAAGGTTTTCTCTTTTACACCAGCGTGGATGGGGATGATCCAGAAGCTAGGAACTTTCTCAGCACTCAGCTGGCATAAGTACCATTTACTCTTATAGGTTCTGAAGTCTCCGTTGAAATCAGTAACACATTTTTCTTGCATTCCTTAAATAGTTCAGAATAATGGTGGGGGTTCAGTCAGGTGATGGCTTCCGGCGCTCAGTGGCCAGATGCATCCTTTAGCCAGCGGGAAGTTCTCTCGGGGGCAGCTTCTTGGAGCCGCCTTGTCTCCTGGCAGCCTTTTCCGGTTGCCCTAAATTTCCCCAAGCAACAGCATCTTCTCCATGGCTCTCTTGCCTTCGCATTCCGCGTGCAAAACGTCTAAGCTGGAGCTTCATTGTTTACACTTCCTGCAAGCATGCTAGTTTTCTTCACCCGGTCCCGAATGATGTGACCTTCTTTCAGATCAAGATCTTCTCCACCATCTTCTCCAGCACCACAGTTCGAAGGCATCCCTTTTTTTCTTGTTTCTTTGTTTGTTTGGCCAGACGGCCCTGCTGCAACTGGGAAAACGGTGGCCTTGATGATGCAGGCCTCTGCGGTGATTCTGATGTTTCTGCACACCGACCTTTTGTCCAGATGTGTCATGACCTCCTCCCTAGCGGCAGGTGCTGCTTTGTTTTACAGCTGCAGCCTCCCGCTCCCCCCGCTTAAACGTCTCAGCTGGGAAAGATAGCGCCTGTTCCTACTTCAGCTGCTCCTCTGCCTGTTGCCTTCTGACACAATCTGAGTTTGTCAACACCGAGCAGTGGACCAGCTTTTGCACCCCCTTGTCTCCCCTTCCGCAAGAGATTCCTTAAATCTTCTTCTCTTCCAGCCGTCAAAGTGGCATCGTCACCATAGCTGAGTTTGTGGGTGTTTCTCTCAGCAGCTAATTAATTCCAACTTCTATTTCTTCTAGTCCAGCATTTCTCACTATACATTCTGCGTAGAGCTTAAATAAATACAGGCTCCTTTCCCTACTTCGAACCATTGGAACTGTTGTGCCATATTCTGACCTCACTTTGCTTTCTCGTCACCATACAATGCTTCCATGGGCACATCAGGTGGCCTGGAGCATTCCTGTCTGGCAGGGATGGCTACAGGCTTGGGGTGCCAAACGCCTTTTGCTTTTCCTTCTCTCGCTGGCCTTGTCTTAAAGGGGCCTCAAATTTCAGCCTGGGCTCTTTCTGTTGATCTAATCCAATCAGTAAATCTATACCTTCGCCACATAATCATACAGAGCAGTGCTGAGGCTGTGCTTTATTAGTCTGGTTATTTTATTTATTTTCCTTAGTTTAAGTTGCAACCCGCAAGGAGTTTGTGCTCTGAGCTGCAGCCAGCACCAGATCTTATTTCTGCTGACTGTCCTCCCCCTTCACTTGCAGAGACTATTGTCAATCTAATCGGCTATCCAGTGCTGCCCAAGGACAGTGTTTTTGGGGGAGAATAATTATTTTAAATAAACTTTCCTCACATGTGGCTTTGCATTTACCAGTTTTTTAAATCACAAATGAAAATCTAAGTAAATAGGTAGTTTAAAATTCCACCTTGCTCATGGGGACAGATAAAATTAATATAGATTTGTGAGCGAAATGTTTACTTAAAGATATTCCTCTGATGTATTACACCACATCTAACTTGTTTAATCAGGTTGCTAAGCTATTAATAACTTCTTTGTGGTGAGGGCAATTCCCCTAGATTTACTTTATTTAGTTTTCATGTAAAGATGGGAGATTTGTTTTTGTAGAAGTTCAGCTTTTTATGTGGCTTATATTTGATCCTAGCTTCATTTTGGGAATATAGCTACCTTGATTACCAGGAGGCAGGCACGACATAGCCAGTTTCATCCTATTTGGGACTCCTCAGATGTAAGGAACCAGACGTTATTCTATGGGTTCAAACACGCTACTGGGAATTGGACCTGTGCACCAGCTTAGGAGCTGTCCAGGCCCCGACGCCCGGCACTTGCAGAAAGGGATGTATAGAACGTATCAGAGTGGTGTCTGTATACCGTTCTGATAGATACTGAATGCAGAATCCACGATGGGCCTAATGAGGGTTATTTTGCAACTGTTTTGGTGTCACAGGGGGCTCAGCTCCCTTTTTAGCCATAGCTCTGCTGCATTTCCTGCACTGAAGGCTGCAAGATATTTTTGGAAGTTGTAGAATCTAAACTAGTTAGCACTGCAAAACGACAGTATAGCCAATTAATTCACATTTGGACCCAGATGCATTGGCTGTGTGTAAAACTCCTGAATTAGTATCAGCAGTGGAATCTGTTTTAGTTACATCCAAACCTCCATCAAACTTTTATTAAAATTAATGGTTATGATTAAGGCGGATTCCTGGAGAAAGTCAATCTTGATGGTCATTAAGAGTCAACCCCAACTTGAGGGCATGTAGTCAATCAATTGCAGCTGATATTTTCAGTGTGGAGAGTAGCAGAGAAGGCTGTGTGCCCCTCTCAGAGGGGCAACAAGAAAAATGGGGGCTGCCATAAGGGACTAGGGAGGAAGATACCCCTGCCATGGCAGGAGATGCTCTGTTAAGAACAGACAACCTCTCGCTTTTCTGCTGCTCCCCCTGCCCCGCTGTGCCCAAAGTCTAAGTTTATAATGTTAATAAAGAGAGTTGTTGGGCCTCCTGGACCCTGCCACTGCCTGAAAAAGCAACAGTAAGACCAGCCACAGGGGGCTGCCATTAACAACCGTTTGCAACCAAGGATGGGTTGATGTAAAGATGCCTTCAGGATCCTTGTGGACTGAGAGGGGCTGAGCTTGTTAGTCTTAGAAGACCCACTGCCTCTCTGTTTTGGGCTCCATGGGAGGTGCTGAGGCTCAGCAAATTCCTAGGAGTTGCTCCCCTTCCTGAAAGGCCTGTAAAGGGTCTTCTCGAAGCTGGAACACGGGCAGCTCCTTCCTTGGCAATTCTACGCAGCCCTTCTCCTCCTGGGCTTTTCACCAGGCCCCAGAGGTCCTCATTCTCCAAGCCTTTGGTCAGAGGGACATGGACGCAAGCCTCAAGGTCAGAACAATACCCACCCTGAGTCACCCAAGTCTCTAAATAGCCATGGTTTGAATGCTTACCCTCAGACCCTCTGTGTGGCCTCTTTCCCACAGATGCTGCAGGGTTTCCTGGCCCCCCTCCTCCTGGCTCTCCTTGTTGCTGCGGCAGCAGCCGTGCTCCCCACCCCT